ATCTTGCATTGAAGGGAGACACTGAACAGGAAATGGAGAACATCTTTTCCCAGGAATATGCCATGGAGTTGGTCATCGTCCCAGACATGGCCAGTCAAGGCCATGTCTCCCAAATATCTAGTCATGTACCCCTTCCCACACAGAGAACAGTTTCTGTCTCTTCCCCCACTCTGTAAAGCAGTCCCAACCCCATGCTTTGTAAACACCTGCTTGGAGAAGAATGGAGGGAAAAGAGCAGGAGGAATGCTTTGTAGAGCTGGGAGAATGAGACGGTCCAACTAGACAGGCAGAAATTAGGTGAGTTTGCTGGCTGGCACTGAAACAGCAGTCAGCTACAAGTGTCATTAGGTGTCATATGGGTGTCATGGAGGGAATGTAGGGCTCGCCTGCTTTCTTTCCAGGGCACCCTGAGCATCAGTGTTTATGTGCAGGCCAGTGTCTCAGGGTGCCTCTGCCATCAGCATGGGTCTCTACTATTTCACCCATCTCTGATCCATTCCCTGATGCAATGGGAAGAGCTGACCTACACATGGGATTTGGACATTGCTCCGGCTGCATGGTAATGCAGCTCATCATGCAGCCATGTGCTATGTGAACGTGCTCTCAGTATAGGCATGGTGGCTTCCCTAGAATTTGCATTAGCAGCAAGAGTGAATGATACTCCCTATTGCTCTTCTCCTGTCCTGGGGAGTTTTTGTGCTTTCCAAGCTTGATGTCTATTTTTTTTGCCAGTTCAGTTAACTCTCTTTGCTCCTGGAGACCTGCTTAAATTTCCTTACCCCTGTGATGTTGTTTCTGAGGCAATAGTATTAGGGAGCCATCCCATGAGGCAGTACAAACCAGGAGTTGAAGATGAACCCAGGCCAGCCAGCGCCCTCACTGATGGGGCACAATGCCAAACGGATCTGATCTGAGTGAGTAGAGCAGGGCGCTGGTAACAGAATCCATTCACAGAGTCCATCCAGAGAGCCCAGTCAGGAACAGTAGAAGATGTGGATAGTGAAAAGAATGAAAACAATATAACAATACGGGCCCAAGTTGTCACAGTTCATTGTGATTTCTCAAATTTACAGTAGAGCGCATACTGTATGAAAAATAAATCTATGAGCTCGATAAATAAAAAAAAAACAAGCAAACCAGAAAACAGGAGTTTATCCATTCTCTTTAAACTAGCATAACTCATTATTTCTCTAGTTAATTAATCCACAAGTTTGTTGATTAGTTAACTCGATAATTTATTAATATTACGCGCTTTTGAGCAAAATAGCTACCTATCTGATGGAGAAAATGCTCAGTCTTACTCCTCTGACATAGAATCATAGAATCATTATGTTTGGAAAAGACCTTCAAGATCACTGAGTCTAACTGTAAGCCCTTCAACACCTTGCCTGCTTAACCATGTCCCTAAGTGCCTCATCTACATGTTTCTTGAACACTGCCAGGGATGGTGACTCTGCCACTTCCTTAGGCAGCTTGTTTCAATGCTCAACTACTCTTTCAATGTAGAATTTTTTCTTAATATCTAATTGGAATCTCCCTTGGTGGCACTTGAGAACATTTCCTCTTATCCTATTGGCAGTTACTCTGGAGAAGAGGTAGTTGAGAGGTAGTTGTCAAAAGCAATAAGGTCACTCCTGAGCCTCCTCCTCTCCAAACTAAACAACCCCAGCTCCCTCAGCTGCTCCTCATAAGGTCTGTGCTCCTGCCCTATCACCAGCTTCATTGTCCTTCTTTGGACATGCTCCAGCAGCTCAATGCCTTTCTTGTAGTGAGAGGCCCCAAAATGAACACAGTATTTGAGGTGCAGCCTCACCAGTGCTGAGTACATGGGGACAATCTCTTCCCTAGCCCTGCTGGCTACACTGTTCCTGAAACATGCCAGGATGTCATTGGCCTTCTTGGCCACCTGGGCACACTGCTGGCTTATGTTCAAACGGCTGCCGACCAACTCCCCCAGATCCTTTTCTGTCATGAAAATGTGTGACATGATGTGGGTGTCCACTGAGCAGCACTGGGAAGCATGAGAACCTCAACCATCCAGCTGATGGTGAGTCTCTTTTAAAGGCTGTTAGGGTGAAGTATTTTTGCCTTCCAGATTGGAAAATTTGGTCTATGCCATCCCTATTTATTTCTCCAGTCACCAGACAAGGATTTACTAACTCCAAAGCTTTGGTCTTGCAAGGTCTTAAGATTACGATACTTATAAAACTGCATGGATAGAAGACTTCATTCTGTTTTGTCCTTGAGTGTCTGAAGTATGAGCTGCACTTGTTTTAACATAGTGGTGCTGTTCCCAGCAGGCGTCAGGCCTCAGTATGAGCTCTGTGTTAGGGCCCAAAGCCTGAGTATGGCTCAACTGAACATGTGTCATTCCGAAAATGGGGCTAGACACAGGGCAGGAGACAGGTGCATCTACAGCACACCTTTGCAAAAGAATGCATGTCTAGGCAACAAGGCCTATTGGCAGCCCCAGGAGAGTCAACAATAGAAGATAATTCTCCAAGGTTCAGCATGGCAGGAAAGAACTTATCACCAGGAAGGACACATCCTGGGGACCACACTAGCCTCTCCCAAGACAGGAGAAACTGGGGACTTCACATTGCATGTTCATCTTCAAAGCTAGCATTGCTTTCAAGAATTGTGCCAGAAGAGCTCCAACAACAAAAAAAAAATCCTGGAAGGAGACATCTTGAAAGAGGAGTTCTGGCCTCATTCAGGGAGAAATGGATGAGGAGAAAAGGAAAGGAGTGAAGCATGGAAGGATGTATTAGTGTGAGGGGCCTGGCATGGAAAGATGCAGTGGTGGGGAAGAAGTCTGGCCGGACATGAGGGAGGCAGAAAGGTGAGAGCAAACGAGATGAGCTAGTGTCCTTCAGCATTAGGGAAGAATCAGCAGAACCCCTTCGGAAGTCCTTCACATGGCCCATTGCCTTGATATTCCTTTCCGCTTTCCATAATTATTCACATGCAGAATCCTTCCGCACCTGCTCCCTTCCTTGGGATGCCAACATCAGAACACACATTTAGTCTCATCTTTCTGCAGGATGTCACCAGAGTTCAGACACGCCAAAGGATGAGAGTTGGCTCACTGCCTCTAATCACATTTGGCATGCATGTGCCTCCTCTTAGATTATATTTTGGGCAGGACATAGTGCCACAAGTTTATTTTTATCTACAAGTGATTTCTGCCTCATAATCTCATCCCTCAACACCACACAGACTGACAACTTCACTGCTTATTTTTCTTCCACTTTCATTTGTATTTCCTTCTTTCTATTCTCCTTACACAGTACAGGTGTGTATGGGGACCGTGCAGGTCCTCATAGTCCTACGTTTTTGAGGAAGCTTTCTGTTCCCAACCCTGGCTTTTTTTCACTCTCTATCTTCCCATAGTTTCCATGAAGGTCACCTCTCCTCCCTGGCAGCTGAGAATTGATGCAGGGCTGAAAAGGCACTTCTTTGCCTTCTTGTCCACCTATCCATTTTCTGCATTCCTTACAGAATCTTTCCGTGCTTCCCTTCTTTCCTTTTTCCCAACCCTCTTGCCCTGGATCAGGTGGTGCCCACCTCTTGTCCTTTCCCCACATCTCCTTGTTAAACATTCCCCATGCAAAGATTTTCTGTGCAGGCTGTGAGGTTGGCCATGCAGTATGATGATTGCAAGGATTCACATCTGAGAGTGATTTATGTACCCTTGTGTACTAACAGACAACTTCCCTTGTGCAGTCAAGTGGTGAGTTGGGAAGTAACAGGAAGACATGTTATTGGGTAAATCTGACTCTAAGGCTTCATTTGCATTACATTCTTCTCACTTTGTGCATAAAAAGTTGGGAAAGCATTGACCCTAATTGGCAGCATGACCCCTTCTACATATCCAAAGATTTCTCATTAACTTTTGGTGACTATACACAAGTTAGTTGTGAACAACATGTTCAATACAATGAAAACAAAACCATACTGTTTTTTCCACACATTAAGGAAAATCACTATCAGAAGGCAAAGTGAGACAGGGGAGAATTGGGAACGTTTTACAGCATTGTTTTTGGCACAGCTAATGATAGAGTAGAGGAAGAGGGTGATGTGACCATTTTTTACTGACAAGATCTCTGGACCTCGAACACGTGAGGGGAAGATGTCAGTGATGTGATGAGATTGTGAGGAGAGTGTCCTGCTCACGCAAAGTGATCTGTGGCCAGTGGTTTTCACACTGGTGCCAGAGAGGAGGCAGAAGCAGAGTCGCGTGGCCCAAGCAGTTGTGACCTGCTTGTTTCTCCCAGGGGGTGCTGGCACAGTGGGGCCCCCTACAACCCATATGCTGGTGCTCACGGGGAGAGTGGCCATTTCCGAGGAGTAACAGGAGGTAGGAGGTTGGGGATAGAACTGGAGTGGTGGGTGGTGTTGATCACCAGGCTCTTTCCTGGGGTGTGGGGCATGAGTGGGAGGAAGGGAATCTTTGCTCAGTGGGGTTTTCTCCTTAGAGCCCACTCTCACCCCAGGACAAGGTGGTAGCTCCCGCATTCTCCCTTTCTCCAGGACCCTTCCTCTTTCACATCCCCTATTTCCAGCCATTCCACCCTATCCCCACTGCTCTTTCTCCCTCTCTTTCTCCTAGATATCCCTAGCCCCTAGTCCTCCAGCCTGTTTCCACCTCTCCCTCTCCAGGACAGGCAGCTTCAGGCTTTTCCCAGTCACCCACAGCAGGAGATAGTTCTTCCTGCCACAGATCAGGACCTGGTGTGATGAGAGCAGGGAGGGAAAGCAAGTGCTGGAAGTGTTGATGCCCCTGATCTCCTCCCTCCTTCCTAATCTCTCCTAGGAGGTGGTGGCAGAGTGGAGAGGGACAAGACAACGCTCATAGCAGGGGCTTCACCATGGGAGACACCAACACAACAGACCTTTCTCTGACCTCTTTGGACACAGGATACACAAACTCTGTGGAAAATACTACAGTTTCATGCTTTAGGGGACAACCAGGATTACTGATCTTTGCAGGGGTCTGCATGGGGATTTGTCTGTGTGGGTTAGGGGGGAATGGGATGGTTGTGTGGTTCTTAGGCTTTAAAATGAAGAAGAACCCCTTCACTGTCTACATCTTCAACCTGGCTGTTGCTGACTTCTCTGTGCTTCTTTTGTCTTTTCTGATCATATTGGTAAATTTTTGTGTCCAAGGAATTTATTTTCATGATCAGAATGCCATTTTTGCCTTCTGCTATTGGGTACACGCACCGTACTACTTCTTTCACCTTACTGGTCTGGGTCTCCTGACAGCATTATGCACTGAACGATGTATTTCTGTCCTCTTCCCAATCTGGTACCGCTGTTCCCGCCCAAAGCATTTGTCAGCCATTGTGTCTTGTGTTCTTTGGGCTGGTTCTGTGCTCTCTACTTTATTAGGTCTTTTTGGCTGCTGAATTAATCTGTAGGAAAGTACTTGGAGGCATGATCATTGCAGTTTTAATCATTTTCTCATCACTGCTATTGTTTTCCAACTTGATCCTGTTCATCAAACTTCGATATGGCTCACAGAGGCGTCATCCTGGGAGACTCTTTGTTGCAATCTTACTCAACATCCTCTTCTTTTTTGTCTTTGGGATTCCTTACAGTGTAGAGATAATACTCTTTGTTTATCATTCAAATGAATTATTACCTGAAAATCTGTCTTTCTTGCTGGCATCTCTGAACAGTAGCATCAACCCTGTCATTTACTTCCTGGTCGGGAGCTACCGTCAACGTCGGTTTGAGGCCTCTGTGAAAGCTGCCTTCCGCCGTGTGTTTGCAGAGAAAACAATGTGCGAAGAGGGCAGCCAAGACCTCAGAGATACTGCTGCAGAGAGCAGTGTGTAGATGCCTGCTGCCAAAGCAGGAGCAGAGGTTCTGAACTCCACAGGCAGCCCAGAAGGAAATGGAGGACCCCAGGCTGTGCCTGCTGCCCCTCTTGCTGCCTAGGAGGCCTCTGAACCTTGGGGGCAGGCACTGCTGTGCCCCAGGAGCCTGGCATGGGCACAAGCACACAAGCCTGGCAAAGTGCTGCTCTGCTGCACCTGGACCCCAGGCAATGCCTGTATTCCCCTTTGCAGCATCCACCATGGCTCTGCTCCATGCCTAATAAACTTTGTTGTTCCTCCACCAGCAACTAGTGTTTGTGGTCTTCTTGGGGCTCTCTTGCGCAGGAAAAGTCAGGCACATTCACAGGAAGGTTCTGGTGCAGCTTTGGCCAGCTCAGAGAAACAAGTTTTCAGGCAGGTGGAAGCAGCAATGCCAACACGTGGTGGTGGTGGTGGGTTGGTGGTGGATCATGGGATGGGGGTCATCTTATCCTGCTGTTCCTGTGCTGAAGTGAAAGGCTGAGCTAGAACTAAAGGTGAACCCTGGCTCATCATTTGGCTGTGATCACTTGCCTCGGGCCTAGGAAGCAGCATGTGTTGAAAGAACTGCTCTCTGTGTCCTCCCTGCTGCCCTGGCACGGGCTTCTCCACTGCAGCCCCGCTTTGCTGGGGCAAAAGGCAGGTGAGCAACCAGGCTGGCTCGCTCCAGACAGGCCCTGGCCCCTGCACCATAGCTTGAGAGACCATTTGCATGCCCTCTTTTGTGGTCTGGTAATCTTTGCGCCTCTGGTCCCTCCTTGGCTGTGCACACACGTCTGTGAAGAAGATGCCCTGGGGAACTTTCTCCCTTGAGCTCAGCAGGCAGGCTCTGGATCTCTTGCACACATCTAATTGTCGCCGGACCCCCCAGTGTCTGGGGTCCAGGTGCACCAGAGCCTTCCTGTGAATGTGCCTGAC